TTGAACGGTCCAGAGGACATCACGGGCGGCAGATCGTGGCGCTCGTGGAGCAGGAGATCGGCACCAAGGTCGAAGAAGTCCACTACAAGGACATGACGTTTATCGACTACCTCGTGGAGCATAGCCCTGGGCCCAAACCTCTTATTGAGTCGTTAAAGCATGCTGGCGTCAAAGCTTGGGAAGGTGAGTGCACGGCATCGACTACCAGTGAGGGGGTCCTCCGTCTGGCAGCACCGAAGACGGCGCCTGCGGCCGTTTTCAAGACCTTGTTGCAGAACTAGTATCGTCTAAATGAATGGGCTTCTTGCTGTCGTGTTTCAGATGGTAGTGTAGTCCTGTGCAGCATTGTGACGCTCCTATGTTCGTACTGATCACCATGATTGTCCAGGAGACCATTCCCAGCAGAGGTATGTGAGAATGAGAATGCTGGCTGTCATGGGTAAAATGATGAGATATTCTGCCCGTGATTTCCCTCGTGCCAGATGGCATAATATTCGAAGGCAGATGCTGCGCCGCGACTGCCAGGAGCATGACGGCGAGCCTGCAGAAGTCAATACGAATGGGCAATCGAGAGAGAGACAGAAAGGGCGGAGGAGGGTAGGAAGGTACGACGTCACAGAGGCTTGGGTTCCTGCCCGGTGGACGCTGATCCAGGGTCCATCATGAGTCGTGCCTCCGCCAATCACACCATCTGATGCCACGACTCTGTCTCCACATCTTCGTGTGCCAAAGATTTAGGCCCCTCATCGACCTCGCTGCCCCGCCATCACCTACAGCCTGTGACACGGAACCGTCGACGTGCATTTCGGCGCTCCTCCGCCACTCCTTGCCCAGCATCAGCATCGCGTGATCGCCCATACCAATATTGGTTGCACTCTGCTCAAGAGGCCATACCGTGCGTGCATGGTCTGCAGCTTGCGACGTCACTACCGTGTTTGCCTCGACCACCATCGTCACCCCACGTCGCGTAACCACACCACATCCACGTCGCCTTGCTGGACGCCTTCACCTCCATATCAACCCACGACATTTCCGCCACGTCGCCGACGTTGTGCTTGACTTCTTACCCTCAAGTTACAGATTGTACTCTCTGTTGACGCAGGTCAGAGCAAACAATCCAAATCTCAATATTGCCATTGTCCTGTGAAGACGATACTTCTTCTATATAATCATTATGACGCCTGATGTGATTCAACCCGTTGCTGCCGGGGGAGAACTGCCAGTAGTAACCAAAATGCAGGATCCCAAGGAGAAGTTCTACCGCCATTTCCAGGTCGAAGTGACTTGTAAGCGATCCTATCTGAAGATTTGCATCCTTTTGTCTCAAATCCTAACACAGTCAAGCCCTTCAAGATCAAATAGAGCGCCTGTCTACTATTGCTGCTGTTGGCGGCGAAAGGAAGGATGCCGCCGATTCCATACTGGCTGCCATCTCTAGGCTGTCTAGCGAGGTTGCCGACGCTTCAGACTTCGTTCCCTCCTACGACCAACGGAACTACGCCCAAGCCATCAAGACCCTAACAGACAAGCTCAATGTGACAACCGCCAAGCTCGCACCCCGATCCAGGTTTCAATTCAAGTCCCGTATCCAGACTGCAAGCGCCAAATCAGATCCTCGCGTGCTCTCCAACAGCAACGACACTGCCACCCCACAAGATACCAGGACACCCGCCACGAGCACTGCCTCCGAGGCGCAAGACGCGGTTGCGCCTCTGCCCCCAACGACCGTCCGGAATTACAACGATGAGATAGCACAGCCGTCGTCTTCTCATATCCGCAAGCCTAGTTTCTCTACTGCCCGCGACATTGCCATCTACGGCCAAACCGACCTGCACATCCTGCTGCCCGCTACCGCCAGCCATGCCACCTCATCCGGCCGCCTGACCGACATATCCGGTTGCGTTGTAGACATGTCGCGTGCCACGGGCAGCGCCGCACCATTCGCAAACCTGGCACTCAAGAACATTGAACGGAGTCTCGTGCTAGCCGGTAACGTCGATGGACCGGTGCATGTCACGAGTATTCGCGACAGCATTCTCGTCGTGTCAGCACGGCAGGTACGAATTCACGAATGCCACAACATGGACGTTTATTTCTACTGCGGGAGCAGACCCATCATTGAGGATTGCTCAGGCATGCGATTTGCCCCGCTCCCCAAGTCCTTTGTAAGTGAAGACCTGACATGGTGGAAGGACTGTGCTGACTGGTCTAGGAATCACCCGGTGATGACTCGAAGAATCAGTGGGACCAAGTCGATGACTTCAAGTGGCTGAAGGCTGAACCCAGTCCGAATTGGAGTGTGCTTCCCGTGGACGAGAGGTTGGAGGATAGGATTTGGTCGGACGTGGTACCAGGAGAACCCGGCAAGGGACTGAAGGATATTCTCCAGGCAGTCAAGATCGCCAGGGGTTGAGGCATTGTCGGGTACAGCCATATGGCATGCATACAAACTGCCCGGGGAGCGGCATACAATGTGTGGTTACATGGTCTGCAGATCGATCTATCGTTGAATAGCCTCTCACGTCGTCTTCTGAAGTCAGCATCCAGTGTGGCGCCGGCCGGTAAGGAACCCCGGATTCCTTGAACCCCCGACCTGCCATCCCTGCCAACCACCTGCAGGGGGCTAGGCAGCTCATGACCCACATAAGGTACGACGAGCGCGGCCATGGACGAAATGGTGACTTGCAAGAAGAGAACTGTCGAATTCCCAGGAGTCTGTACCTGGCCAGCAGCGTCTTCCCTCCACGGGGGGATGGGGGGACAACTAAACATGGTTTCCACAGGATTTCACGACGTCTGTTTACAGCATGGCGCAAGCTAGAGCTACGACTGTCAGCAACGTCTGGATGTACACGGGGATTGCCTCAGGACTGACTGCTCACGATACATTCAATATCCATATCCTTTACCGGGATGTGCGTGCTGATGCGTGGGCATAGTCGGTAGCTGAGGCGAAACCGCGGTCTTTCGCACACGCAATGACCCGTGTCGCGTAGTCCGCAACAATACCAGATACGCTATTGGCATCCTGTCCCGAAAGATTCCGCCACGAGGCTCGACTAGAAGTATCATGAACATCCGGGCACAGCGCACCAATTTCGATCCACTGGTGTTCAGCTCCTACAAGGGGCATCATTTACGTGATACCCATGACTTAATCTTGTAGGAGATGTCACCGACTGGCCCGCATTGCAACTCGTAGTCAATACAGAAACCGATCGGCGGGCCGATAGCTTCCTTTTACGCTCTGCCATCGAACGTCCAGACTCTGCTCGATGTGTTTCCAGCGGACAAGCTTGCAGACCCTGCCGGCCGTCGCGTAGGCAGGAGGATCTCCAAGTGATGTTACTC